ACTTGCTGAGCTTCCTTGAGTAAAACGCTCCCGGCCTCCAACCCCCTGCGGGTCCTTCTGCAGCAGGACTGCTCCCACGGCTCTGTCCGAAGCGTCTGTCTCCACCCTCATCGGCTTGCTGGGGTTGACATGAAGCAGTTGCCCTTCCGACGCGAAGAGACGCTTGAGTGCCTGTAAAGGACTGCTCCGCCTGCTGTGTCTAGATCAACCTCTTTTTCTTGGAGCTGAGCGTGTCCGTGATGGCCGCTGTCTGCATGGCAAAGCCTTTGATAAACTTGCGATAGAAGTTCGCAAAGCCGACAAACCGTTGGACCTCCTTCCGGTTGCGTGGGCTTTTCCAATCCAACACTGCTCGGACCTTGGCGCTGTCCATGGCGAGCCCTTTATCAGACAACTTGTAGCCCAGGAAATCCACCTCCGTCACGTCGAATTGGCACTTCTCCAGCTTGGCGTAAAGCCTATGTTGCTGTAGCCTGCTCAGCACTTCCTTGACGTGTCTGTCATGCTCCTGCTGCGATTCCGAAAAGATCAGGATGTCATCCAAGAAACAGACGCACGTCTTGTAGAGGAGCCCCGCCAACACGTGATGCATGAAAGCTTGAAAAACGTGGGAACCATTTTGCAATCCAAAAGGCATAACTCTATATTCGTAGGTGCCCAGGGGCGTGAACATGGCTGTCTTCCACTCATCTCCTTCCCGCCTGCGAATGAGGTGGTACGCACCTCGCAGGTCCAACTTAGTGAACACGCTGCCCTTCCGTACCTTTGCGAGGAGGTCGTCGATTCGGGGCATGGGGAAGTCCGATGGCTTGGTCACGCTGTTCAAAATGCGATAGTCCACTACAAGTCTTTTCTGGGGCGTGTCCCGCTTCTTAACAAAGAATACCGGACTGCCCCCGCTGCCTTGGACTCTCGGATGAAACCGCGCTCCAAATTATGATCTATGAACTCTTTGAGTTCCTGCAGTTCGTCCTCAGACATGGAATACAGCTTCCCTTTGGGCAGCGCCGCCCCCGGCAGCAGGTCAATTTTGCAGTCATATGGTCTGTGGGGGGGTAGCCTGTCTGCCTCCTTCTCGCAGAAAACCTCCAAAAATTCTGCGTACTTGTGGGGAACCGCTTGCAGCGTGCCTAGCTGCAGCTGTGACTCCTCTTCCTCTCCTTCCTGCCGGGGCACGATGCAGTGTTCAGCGCAAAAGGAAGAGCCGAAGGTCAGCTGCCTCTGGTACCAAGCCAGCGTCGGGCTGTGCTTGTCCAGCCAACTCATGCCCAATACAATGGGCGTGTCCGATAGTTGAGTGACATTGAAGCTGATGATTTCCCTGTGATTCCCAAGCCGCATCACCATTGGTGGCGTCTGCTTCACCACTTGCCCCCCTAGCAGCTCCCTGCCATCCACCGTGACAACCTGCAGGGGCAGCGTGGCAGGCAGCAACTGTATAGCGTGCCGGTCGACAAAGTCCTGCCCTATAAAGTCCGCATTGCTTCCGGAGTCAATGGTGATTGGCACGTCCATGGTGATTCCATTGGGCAGCTGGAGCGACGCGGTGAGCCTCACTACTGGTTTGGGCGGGAGGGGGTCCATGGGCTGTAAAATCTCTGGGGACTGCTTCACTGACACGTCTGGCTGGGCCCCAGTGCCTCTTCCTCCAACCAGACTCCGTCGTTTCCCTGCTGTGGTTCTCCTTGCTGCGTTGCTGCAGTTACCATTGCTGAAGCTGCAGTGTGCTTGTGGAGCCTCTGGGGACACTCTTTCGCCATATGCTGTGGAGCATCGCAGATGTAACACTTCCTGTTCCCTCTAGGAGGCTTCGCTTCACTGCTGCCGGTGCTAGGGCTCTGGCTGCTGACTGAGCCCTTGCACCTCCAACCTCCATAGGTTCCGCTCCTCCTCCTGGCGGAGGCGTGGATTGCGCACGCGCTGCTTCTCTGGGAAGGAAGGAGGAGCCCCTGGCTGGTTCGCGCCCTCCACGCCCTTCGTCCCTGCTCCACGGACGTTCTTCCAGCCGCACCCCCACCGCCAGCGCCCTCTGAACGATCTCCTGCGTGGTCCGGGGTCTCCCCCCTCGCAATTTCATCTTTAACCGAGCCGTGCAATCCCTCCCAAAACAGGTCTCTTACAGGAGCCGAATCTCTGTCCCATTCCAGAGCACTGACCAAAGCGAAAAAGCGGGCATGGTACTGCCTTACGCTGGCCCTCCCTTGCTTCAGTCCATGTATCTGCTGCCGAGCAAGATCCACGTCAATGCTTGATAAAAAGCACCCATCCATCGCTTTAATAAAGGCATCCGCATTTTGGAGCGCCGGATCCTTATCTCTCCACAAATTGCGCAGCCATGCTTTAGCATCTCCATGCAAATGGGACATGATGAATCCCACCTTCTCTTGCTCATCTCTAAAGTCTTTGTCCAGCAGTTGCAGTGCACACATTACATCTGCTCTAAAGTTGGGGTACTGTTGCAAATTCCCATCGAAGTGAGAGACCAGACCGCCTGTTCGTCTCCCCAACCCAATCCCTCCGGTTTGGGTGTCAGTTGCCCTTGCTTCGTAAGCACTTCCAACCTGACCTGGAGATCCCTGTAGGCGGCAGCTGCGTCCTCCTCTCTCTTCCTGGATGCAAGAGCCTCGGCATTCAGTCGTGACACTGCTTCTCTGAGTTCCGCTATCTGCTGTTCGGCCGTCATATTGTCTGCCTTTCGTGAGCTCGCTAGTAGGCACCCGCTTTCTCTCCTCTCCGCGAGGCTGTAGATGCCCACAATTTATAGAGACGGAGCTTACTGTCAGAGCTGCTTCCAGATCCTAGCTCACAGAGGATCACGCTAGCCAGCGATCATTAAACAAAAGTCTTTATTGAGTTACAGTTTCCATTCTCAAACTGCTGCGTGCAACTCTACGTCTCATGGTTAGACCGGCGAAGCTCCGTCTGAGTCTCCGCCCCTTGTACACCAACTTAATATCCTAGCCCTGCTCCACCTTTTCCGCCTGACTGTTCTTCTCTGGGTCCCTCTGCCCCCTGGGGTCTCTTCTTTCCGGGATTCCTCTGACGCTGACCCCCCTGACTCTTCTCCCTCCTTTCGGCGGGCTTTAGGACCTGGCTCCCTATCCGGCCAGCCTACTCCGCCACATTCCTGTGCATAAGAACTTGTCCCTCGCGCCCAACCTTCCACCTTCCGTCTGACCGTTTCTTCGCTCCCCGATGGAGGTGTGGCCACTCCTGACTCGTGCCCTCCCCCCTGTTGTGAGCTGCCAGCGCTTGATCCCTGGCTCCCTTCCTCTTCCCTGCTCTCTGGCGGTGACGCTGGTCCCGATTTCCAACTGCTCCCCTCTGAGTCCCCTCTGGCTCTATCTTCCTGGGGCGTCCCCTAGGCTCCCCCTTGCCCTGGCCACTGGTGCTCCTTTCTGTGAATCTTCTGATTCACTGGAAAGACTCGGAGATCTCGGGTCGTCGTCATCACTCATCTTTTCTTCTGCCTCCTCCCCCTCGCTCTCTGTTTCCTCCCTTGCCCTTGCCTCTGCTCCTGAACCCCTGACAGTATGTAACCTGAAGCGTATGTAACCCGAGGTACCACTGTACTGTGGAGTATTTAAGTGTTTGTGTGAGAACGAGACACAAGGACTGAAGCAGATATGGTAGCAGAAGCATTTCAAAAAAGTTTATTTTCAGTGCTGAAATTTGATTTCTATTTTTTAAATATATATTTTTATTCTTTTCCCATAACAAATTATACATCCAAAACATCTTTTTTACATCCAAATTCCTCCTTACTGACTTCCCTCCTCCCGCCTGAAAAACCTTCCTAGTACTTTCTCCACATTTCTTAAATTTAAATTACACCACCAAATTATTAATTAATTTTTTACAATTTAACAATATTCCTACCTTTTCTCTTCACAGAGCTTCCTTAAAACTTACAAACGTTATCTGATTATCACTTAATTTTTGCATATATTCAGTAATTTTCATCCAATCTTCTGTAAAACTTTGATCACGTCAGTTCACGATCCTTCCTGTTAGTCTATCGAGTTCCGCATAATCCATCATTTTCAGTCTCCATTCTTCAATCGTAGGTAACTCTTCTTGTTTCCACTTCTGGGCCATCAAAGTTCTTGCTGCTGACACTGCATATAAAAATATCTTCCTATCTTTCTTATCTATCTCATTACCTATTATTCCTAGTAAAAATGCTTCTGGTTTCTTTACAAATGTATATTTCAATACTTTCTTCAATTCATTATAAATCATTTCCCAAATGTTTTTGGGAAAGCGACATCTTAGGCCCCTTCTGCACTATACATTTAAAACAGTATCATACAGCTTTAAATAGTCATCTTCCCTAAAGTATCCTGGGAACTGTAGGGCACTGAGAGTCTCTCCCTTCACAGTGCTACATTTCCCAGAGTTCCCTGGGAGTACCTCTCTGAGGGAGAAGGGGAGATGAAGAATTTCATTGTGTTGGATCAGAAAATTGATATGCTTACCAACAGGACTGGCCCAGGACATCTTGGGGTAGAACAGCGAATGGTTGACTGATTGAGATACGTTGGCCTCTGAGATAGGAAATTTCACAAGTACCACTCCATGGGAGTAAAAATTCAACAACAAATTATAAGAAGTAAAAAAAGGTTGTCTTTTCACATCACCCTAAATCAAGCTGTTTTCATAACTTTTCATAGCATGCTAGAGCAACATAGGCCAGCTTTAGGCTTTTGTGGTCTGCCCACAAAATTAAAATTCCTAATTAAAATTCCTTTGGTCCAGTGATGTTTGTTTTCAAAGCAAGAATACAAACTTTTTCTCCCTGAACAGTTAAGGCATAACTAATACATGCTAAGTAATGCTGAGAACACACTTGCTTATGGATATATGAAGTGACTTTCTCTTTCAGACCAAGGCCCCTCTAGTTAAAGGGAAGGCAGGAAATTTCCTTATATTGTGCAAGAACATCCTAGCTCAGCAGAGGCTCCCCAGGGTTTCAGGCAGGGGACGTTCCCACTCTTATCTGCAGAGGCCAAGGATTGAACCTGGGGCCTTCTGCATGCAGAGCAGATATCCTGACCACTAAGTTATGACCCTTCAAGCATATCTGGCAAGAATCCAAGCAGGCACTAGGTGGTCCACTGGAAATTGGCCAGTGGCCCATCACTATACTACCATTTACTACTACTATACTACCCCAAGGCCAAATAAGCCCTCCCCCACCCATTTCTTTCTGCTCTTCAAATTCCCTACCAATTTTGGTCACAGTCACAAAAGAAAATAGGGGGAGCACCAGTGTGTTTAAAAGCAGGAGGTATTTCCCTATCTTAAATGATCCACACAGATCAGTGTGTGTGTGTGTGTGTGTGTGTGTGTGTGTGTATAGCAAACAAGTGAGGGAGGTAGCCACATCCCACCACTGTCATGTGCCCCCTGGAGAGTTGTCTAATGGTTAATGTGGCCCCTAAGTCGAGAAAAGTTAACCACCCCTGCACAGTATCCAAAGCACTTTGTATAAAATGCTGTAAAGTTTACAGCAATCCTTTAGAAAGGCTAGTATTCTTTTTATTTTTAAATTAATTTTCAAAGTTTCAAAAAGAAAAAAAATCTTTTTACACACACACACACACTTGTTTACGTTAAACCATAGTTCATATCAGTACCTTTATGGGGTTTCTTGAACCCCTGGACCTCCCTCCCCCCCTCCTTGGCTTCCAAAATTTATCTTCCTTTTTAAACTAAATCTAATTTCATTTATCCAAATTATTGTACTTCATTTTTATCCTTTGTTATTTTAAATTACAAGTGCTATGTCAATCCTGCTAATGTTTTTAGATTTTCACAGCGTTCTTTAATATATTCTATAAAGTTATGCCATTCTCTATTAAATTCCTAGTCAGCCTTGCCATCTCCGCATAGTCCATCATCTTCAATAGCCATTCTTCCTTCAATAGGGCTCTTTCTTCTTTCCATCCCTGGGGAAACAGTATTCTTGCCACTGTCGTTGCATACATACAGTGGAGTAGCAAGGTCAGGTGGTACCCAGTGCAGAAAATTTCTTGTCACGCCTCCTTGACTTTTTTTTTTTGCCTGCAAAAATGGTTTGACTTTGTTTCATTTTTTGGGGGAGCCAGCCAAAGTTGTTGAGCTATTGCGTGCATTGTGATGAGTCTGCCTGCCACAGCTGAGGGGGAGCCAGCGGGCGGACCGTTTCTGCAGCGGGAAGCCACCACGCACCAAAGCCACAGCCTCTCTCACAGACGTTGAGTGCTGTAAACCATTTTGTCACCCCTTTCAGAGGTGACACCTGGGGTGGACAGCACCCACTGCACCCACTTTCCTATGCCCCTGCATACTAAAACAGTATTTTCTTATCATTCGGTAATTCTTCTCCTATTATACCTAATAGAAAGGCCTCTGTTTTTTTTTTAAATCAAAAGTTATTTTCAACATTTTTTTCAGTTCATTATAAATCATTTCCCAGAAGGCCTTAGCTATTTTACAGGTCCACCACATATGATGTGGACCTGTACCCTCTTTAACTTTACACTTCCAACATATGTTCTTATAAATTTTCACTAATCTTGTAGGAGTCAAATGTCAGGGAGGAGTTAGAAGTTTCCAGTTTCTCAGAGGGAGAAAGCATTCGCCAAGGGGGGAAGGAGAGCAGTGAATCTAATAGAAGGGAGCAAGAGGAACAACAGGGAGGGACTGGCTGTTCACAGGAAAGGCAAGGGTTAAGTTCTAGCTCAGACTTGGAGGAGGGGAGATACAAGCCAGCTCTAGTGAGGAGGTTAGGAAAAGAGCGGGAAAGCGAAGGGAAAGGCGCCTTCGCCATTTTGAGAGTGGCTGGTCATGGAGAAGCAGAGCTCAGAAGGTATCTGAAATAAGTGACTCTGAAGAATAATAGTTAAGAACCATTTATAAGAATGTTTTGTTAATACGCAATAAAAAGTTTTATAAAAGAACAAGAAGCATTTGTGTGGTGATCTGAAGAGGACAACGACCAGTCCTGACAGAATACCTTCTGCTCTGCGCCTCTTCACTATAAGTAAAGAAGGAGAAGCCAAAATGGAGGGAGCTGTGGCGCCACTTGGGCAAGGAGAAACCCCAGCACTCCAGCTAACATTACAGGACTTATGGCAACAGAACTTACAGTTGAAAAGTCAAGTCGACGTACTGTTGGCAGCATTGGGAGAACATAGAACCATGTTGCAAGCGACGTGTGGAGACAGAGTAAGTAAAACATTTACTATACGTCCACGTAGCTTCAAGGGAGAAAGCTCTGAATACATGGCTTTCAAGACAGAAATTTCTTACATAATTGAGATAAAGGATAAAGAATTTCAATCTGAGCAAGAGAAGGTTGCTTATGTGATTAATTTCTTGGAAGGGAGGGCTAAGGACTGTGTTATACCCCTAATATCTCGAAGGGATGCCGCCCTAGGAAATCTACAAATGTTTCTGCAGTATCTAGACACGATTTTCTTAGACCCTGCGCATGAAATAACCACAGCTAGGCAGCTGTTGAGAATGAGACAAGGAAAAGACACTGTGGGAGTTTATTGGTCCAACTTTAGTTTGCTGGTGCAGAAATTAAAATGGGATCTGAATTCCCCAACAGTTGCAGCCCTTTAGGGAAGGACTGAATAATGAGATTTTAGACCAATTGGCCCAAATGCCAGAACCTAGTTCCTTGGACTCTGGTCCGAACGTGCCTGCAATTGAGCCTACGCGTGGAACGGAGGGCTAGTGAAAAGAAGGAACAATGGCGACCACGGTGGCGGGAAAAGAATATTATCGAAAGTACAGAGAGCAGAGCGGGCAACGTGCCAGGATGAGAGCGGCCAGAGCCCATGGAATTAGGAGCAGCCAGACCCCTCCCAGTTACTACCTCTTCCATGGTAAGAGGAAATGCAGGGAAAGGAAGAGACACGAGGCGTTGCTTTGTCTGTGGAAAACCAGGGCATCTAGCACGACAATGTCGCAATCGTAAAGGATGGGAGTCTCTATCTGGAGCAGACATGGGAGAAGACAATTGCCCAAAGGAACTTCATCAGGGAAAGCGAGATGTCCCCGGCTGGAAATGGGAGCTTGCAGCCGGGTGGAGAAGCAATAGAAGGCTCTCACGCGGAACCACCTATTCCAGGAATAACGGTGAAGGTGCAACTACAACTACCCAATGGACACAGCATCCAGGTAGAGGCGTTGTTAGACTCAGGAGCGTCAGCAGATTTCATAGACCAGAAATTGGTACAGGAACACAAAATCGCTTTGTTACCTTTAAGTTTCCCATTGCGAGTGAAAACAATCGACGGCAGACCGCTACTTTCAGGAGAAGTGACTTACGAGACTCCACCAATGAGAATGGATATGGGTCATCACTCAGAGACCAGGGCATTTCATGTGACCAAACTAGCTGGGCACCCGATGGTGCTGGGCATGAGTTGGCTCAATCGTCATAATCCGGTGATTGCCTGGCATCAAAGGTCTTTGGCTTTTGGTTCGATATATTGTATGACACATTGTTTGGGGCAAAAGGGAAAAATCTCGGTGGAAGTAATAGGAACAGAGGTAGAAGGGAAGTTGATGGGGAATGAAAGTGAGATTCCATCACAATATATGGCTTATCAGGATGTTTTTTTGTGAAAAGAAGCGGATAAACTTCCACCACATAGGCCCTATGATTGCAAGATAGATCTAGTCCCTGGGGCACAGTTGCTACCAAGCAAGATATATGCCATGTCGGAAGTAGAATCTGCAGCATTGAGGGAGTTCCTGCAAAAGAATTTGCAGAGAGGTTTTATTAGAGAGTCCACGGCCTCTGGGGATGCTCCCGTCTTTTTTGTCAAAAAGAAAGGGGAGGAAGGGGCACCAAGATTAGTATGTGACTTCAGAAGCCTTGAGAATCAAATGAAGCCTTGCGTGTGCCCACTGCCACGTATAGATGACCTCTTAGAGAGAGTAAGGTCAGGCAAAGTCTTTACCAAGCTTGATCTACGAGGAGCATATAATCTGATAAGGGTCAGAGAAGGGGATGAGTGGAAAACCAGTTTTTGTACTAAGTATGGTGCATTTGAATTCTTGGTAATGCCTTTTGGCTTGCAAAATGGCTCAGGGGTATTTCAAACCTTCATCAATCACATCTTAGCAGGTATACTTGATCATTTCTGTGTCTCTTATTTAGATGACCTCTTAATATATAGTGAAAGTATGGAGGAACACGTAAAACATGTCACACAGGTGTTAGAGAGATTGAGGACAAACAGGTTATATGTGAAGTTAGAGAAGTGTAAGTTCCACACACAAAAGGTGGAGTTCCTGGGATATTGCATTTCCCACAAAGGGGTGCACATGGACCCCAGTAAAGTTCAGGCAGTGGTGGAATGGGAGGCACCTAAAACTAAGAAAGATCTACAGAGGTTTTTAGGATTTGCTAATTTCTATCGTAAATTCATAGGTAATTACTCCAAAATCACAACGCCACTGACTGATTGTCTAAGAGGCAAGGGGCCATTCAGATGGTCTGAGGAAGCACAGAAGGCCTTTGATAAATTAAAGGTGGTGTTTGCTTCAGAAAAATATCTTATGCACCTAGATCCAAGTAAGCGTATAAAGGCAGAAACTGACGCCTCTGATAGGGCTATTGGGGCCATTCTGCTGCAACAGGACAAGGAAGGGAACTGGAGACCCTGTGCATTCTACTCTAGAAAATTAAATCAATCAGAACAAAACTACACCATATTTGATAAGGAACTTTTAGCTGTGCATGCTGCCTTTAAAGTGTGGAGACATTTTTTTTGGAAGGGGCGTCACATTAGGTGGTGGTACAAACAGATCATAAGAATTTAGAGTATTGGAGAACTGCTAGACAGCTAAACCAAAGGCAAATTAGGTGGGCAGAGTTTTTTGCTGGGTTTAATTTTAGGATTGAGTACATACCTGGGCATCAAAACGTTCGTGCAGACGCGCTATCGCGCAAACCTGAGTATATGGAAGGGGAAGCACCTCCCAAGTTGCGAGAAATGCTGAGATCGGATCAGTGGGGGTGTGCAGCCGTAGTAGTGGATGGCAGGGAATTCCAGCGATTGACAGTAACAGATGAGTTTGCACAAAAGAAAATGGAGGAACTGAGAAAAAGTAGAGGGGAAGAGGAAGGTTTCAAAGAAAAAGATGGATTGTTGTACAGGAGAGGGGTGCTGTATGTACCTGCAGGTGAATTAAGAGGTAAAGTGTTGAGGCAACATCATGATAACCCGACTGCAGGACATTTTGGTAGAGAAAAGACCCTGTATCAGATCACACGGCAGTTCTGGTGGCCAAAGTTGAGGGAGGAAGTAACACAATATGTAAGAGGTTGTGAAGTATGTCAACGAGCCAAGGCACCCAGAGCAGCTCCCGCAGGGTTGTTGCAACCTATGCCCACGCCGGGAAGGCCTTGGGATGTGGTGTCTATGGATATTATAACGGATCTACCGTCATCGCATAGGCAAACAGTGATCTTTGTGGTGGTTGACATGCTAACCAAGATGGCACATTTCATACCATGTACCAAAATTCCGACCGCACAGGAAACTGCAAAGATGTTTTTAGATAATATTTTTAGGTTGCATGGTATGCCATCACAAATCATTTCAGATAGAGGGGCCCAATTTACATCACAATTTTGGAAGAGGTTAATGCAGTTACTAGATGTGGAGCTAAGCCTCACGTCGGCGAGACACCCGCAAACCAATGGGGAAGCTGAAAGAACGAATGCAACACTACAACAATATCTGAGGTGTTATGCTGGTTATCAGCAGAGCGGGTGGTTAGAGAAGTTGAGTCTAGCAGAGTTTGCGTATAATAATGCAATGCATGTGTCTACGGGCAGAGCCCCATTTGTGGCAAACTATGGCTTGCACCCAAGGGCATTCCCAGGTCAAGAGGAGCAGTTAGCAGTACCAGCAGCAGAACAAATGATAGAGGAGTTGAGGTGCATTCATGAGATATTGAAAGAGGATTTGGAAGAAGCTAAAGAGGCTTACAAGAAAGCTGCAGACAGGCACCGGCGAGTTGGGGAAGAAATCCAAGTAGGGAGCTGGGTATGGCTGTCTACCAAGGGACTACCAATACGAGGGAGGTGTAAAAAGCTAGAACCAAGGAGATTGGGACCTTTCCAAGTAAAGGCTCAAATTAACCCAGTCGCTTTCAAGCTTCATTTGCCTGAAAATATGAGAATACACCCTGTATTTCATAGATCTTTATTGTCAGTGTTTGTACCAGCGCATAAGTATCAAATTTCAAGGGGACCACCTCCTTTTCCCACCATGATGGGGGAAGAGGAGACCGAAGTGGAAGAGATATTAGACTCGAGAATAAGTAGGAGGAAATTACAGTATTTGGTTGCATGGAAAGGGTTAGATGAGTCTGAGAACTCATGGGAACCAGCAGAAAAAATTAACGTTCCAGAATTGCAGAGAGAATTTCATAGAAAATATCCCCACAAGCCAAAACCCCATAACTGGCATCTTCAAGAAATTTTTGAAGAGACAGATAGCGAGGAAGAAGAGTTCATAGGGTTCTGTCCTTCAGAAACAGAGGAGAGTGAGAAGGAGGAAGGGGGGCTTAGGGGAGGGAGTGATGTCAGGGAGGAGTTAGAATTTTCCAGTTTCTCAGAGGGAGAAAGCATTCGCCAAGGGGGGAAGGAGAGCAGTGAATCTAATAGAAGGGAGCAAGAGGAACAACAGGGAGGGACTGGCTGTTCACAGGAAAGGCAAGGGTTAAGTTCTAGCTCAGACTTGGAGGAGGGGAGATACAGGCCAGCTCTAGCCAGGAGGTTAGGAAAAAGAGCGGGAAAGCGAAGGGAAAGGCGCCTTCGCCATTTTGAGAGTGGCTGGTCATGGAGAAGCAGAGCTCAGAAGGTATCTGAAATAAGTGACGCTGAGGAATAATAGTTAAGAACCGTTTATAAGATTGTTTTGTTAATACACAATAAAAAGAACAAGAAGCATTTGTGTGGTGATCTGAAGAGGACAACGACCAGGCCTGACATCAAATACCATCTATACATCATTTTCGTATAGTTCTCTTTTAACCTACAACAGGCTGTAAATTTTAAATCCTCATTCCATAACTTCTCCCATGAAGCAAATTGTATATTATATCCCACATCTTTTGCCCAGTGTATCATTACAGATGTTACTTCCTCATCTTTTGTTTCCCATTCCAGCACAATTTATACATTTTTGACAGAACTCTTTCATTATTTTCCAACAATTCTTTCTGCATTATCAAAAGTTCTTTACCAAAACTGACTCCTTTATCCAACCTGAAAATCATTTAATTGATGATATGGGAGCCAATCAGTTAACAGATGTCTTATGTCTTCAAACTTTTTTACTTTTAATTGATTTTCCTCCTCAGTTAGCAACTCTCTATACCTTGCCCATTCTTTTTCCATATTTATTTTTTTAACTGACAACACTTCTAATGGTTGCAGGTAGGTAGCCTTGTTGGTCTGCCGTAGTCGAAACAAAATAAAAAAATTCCTTCCAATAGCACCTTAGAGACCAACTAAGTTTGTTATTGGTATGAGCTTTCATGTGCATGCACACTTCTTAGCCACCATGGGGTTTTATTCTCTAATAAATTCTTATATTTTTACCAAACAGCATAAATTGAATTTCTAATAAAATTGTTTAGAAATCCCCTCTGGACCTCAGGTATATCAAGCAGGAAATATACAAAATATTATCTTCAGTTCTTTTATGCCTAATCCAATCCCCCCCCCCCATTTGCTGGGACATGGGGGAAGTGGAGGTATCTCCACCAAACAGGGCAATGTATTACCAGAAACAAAAAAGAAAGGAAAAATAGTACAGTGGTACCTTGGTTTGCAACCACTTTGGATTACAACTGTTCTGGATTACAACCATGTCAAACCCGGAAGTGCATGTCCCTTAATTACAACCCATTTTTTTTGGATTACGAACAATTTTTTTTGGGAGGCCCCATTGGCGAAAGCGCGCCTTGGGTTACAACCTGTATTGATTTACAACTGGACCTCTGGAACGGATTATGGTTGTAAACCAAGGTACCATTGTACTTCCACTCCCAATTGAGTCTAATACACTTTTTGCCGATTCTCCTTCAGCACAATTGCACAGGAAAAAGGAAACAATGTTTTACACTGAAACTTAGTGTCTGTAGCTTCACCACACGGTTTTAACCTGATAGCCATTGTTTTAAAAGTCACTTTCTGCTGAAAATTCTAATAAAACACACTGTTCATTTCACTTCCCAAACTTTTAAATATAGGAAAACGTACGGACAATGTCCCTCGCTCTCTCTGTCTATTAATACTTTCGTTCGGCAAGAGTTCCCGTAGAAATCAGAGCGAAGATTAAAATGTCCTCTCGCCTCCCTTCTTTACCAGGAGGCAGGATTCTCTTCTGTCCTTGCACACTGTAACTTATTCTTCCAGTCTTTTCAGTCTTCTACTTTATCTTTACTGCAAAAAATTAGTTGGATATTTACCAATTATAAAGTTCTTTTAATGTTATCACTACTTGTAAATTGTCCCCATGCAGGGTAGCTTACACCAGGAAGGGGTGGACCTCCTTAAATTTCTCCCTTCACAGCGCCCAATTATTCTACTTTCCACTTAAGTCCAATTAAAGTTGTTTTATGCAATACGGGCTTTAAATTATATGGAGAAGGTTACCACATCCAGGCTGGAGTTTTAGGCTTCTCATCAGGGAGTTGATGGAGTTTTTCTTCACGCCGCGTCTAAATCCTGTCCCCTCCCGCCTTGTCTTTCGGCTCGGGGGAGGGGGGGCAGACAGGAGAGTTTGCTTCTGGTGCTGCCGAAAACTTCAGCACTCAAAATTTCCTTTTGAGCTTCTTTTGGGGTGCACAGCGCCCTTGTGCTCTCCCCTAAACCCCTCTTGATGAATGAGCCTTCCCTGGTGGTTAAGGCTCTTCACTCTGTCGCCATTCATGGTTCCCCCAGAAGTCCCAGGGAGACTAGTATTCTTGTCTCCTTATTGTGGGGGCTGGTTGAATTTTAGTGGCTTGCCACTTCGTGAGCTCAGGGCTGAGGTAAGATTTACTTTCCTGCACCACAGCTCACAGTTTCCTATCAGCTCTTGGAGACTTGGGCAAACTGAATCTCCGTTTCGACATGATTGGCATGCCTCAATGTGATAATATGGTTGCAGTATTTCTTTTAGGACCTATAAACGTTTGACTACATGTTAAGTCTTTTGAGAGAACTGAAAACTAATCAGGGTACTATTAGCAATGAACAATGCCAGCCTAATGAAGAGGAAAAGCTTGGAAACGTGTGTGTGTGCATGTTTGTTATTATTGTTATAAATTATTGTGTGTCTTAGCTATGTTGATTGAGTGCTGTGCATTTGTGACTGAGCACTAAATTCACTGAAACTCCTCCCCCGCTCCCAAGTGGGATCCTTTCATTGATGACCTGATAGTAATTTCATATTGATTCCTAGTAGTAAGCCAGCTGTTAACATTTCACTGAGCAAAAACTGGTCAATATAGGTGAGTTTTTCTAGAATAGAATGTGTCTGTCTTTTGAAGGCAAAGTGTATTCAAGGTCATTGTGACTTCAAAAAGGAACCTTTTGGCTGTTCTAAAATACCCTGCCATATACCTCAACTGCATTCTTCTCATTTAGAGGAATAGTATTATTTTTGAAATGTGTGTTTTTTCTTTACAAGTCCTTTGAAAGGCAACAAAGTGAGCTGAGAGGAAGTTGCTGGGTGATAGAGGGAGAGGGGCTGCAGGAGTCAGCCCATAATCCCAGACCCAACTCCCCATGTCTTAACCATGATAAAGAGAGAGAACATTGCCAGAGTCTCTTTCTCCCTTTTAAGTTAGGCAGATGTTTGCTCTCTTAAGGCCTTCTGGATAAATTCATTTTTCACAAAGTGGATAAATTCATTTTTGGCCTTTACCATTAAACTCTGCTGGGGGAGGTAGAGAGGAACTTATGTGACTGAATGCTCCTCCATTCAAGGTACAAAAATTAAAGTCCATATTCATGTCAGCAATTGTCTGCAGTCTGAAGTGGTACAGCCCAGAACCAGGGTTGCTACCACGTTTGCTGTTTATCAGAACTAGAAGCTGGTATTTTCAGGCTGGCATGTTAAGTAACTGTTCTTAAACCTTATGTATAAGTAACTGTTCTTAAACCTTATGTGTAAGATGAAGGTAATCAAACACAACTCTGTATGCAATGAAAGTATAATATGCGTGGAATACAATACAATTAATATTATGACTGAAAATCTTATTCTTCGGCGATCACTCGTGCTGTTGTTGTTTATTGAGTTTATATACCGCCCTATACCTGGAGGTCTCTGGGCGGTTCACAGAAAACTTGCAGCCGAGTAAGATTGTCTTCCATGAATACAATCTTAACAGTGTGTCTGTAAGTGACTGTGGAGGCCATTTCTGGATCCACACTGTCAAGGCTGCCTCAAGTCTTAGCTCACAAAAGACCAACGCCTCTGTCTTCTTATATACAAAAGTGTTTATTGCAGTTCATGGTTTGCTTGACATCCTAGGCGCGCAGCCTTACGTCTTTTACGCTAGACCGCCGAAGTCCCCTTCTGAGTCAGTTCCTCCCCTGCACCAATTTAAGAGACTTGCGCTGCTCCACCTCTTTCTCTCCTTCCTTTTCCGCAGGGTCCTTCTGCCCACTGGGGTTTCGCCCCTCCTGGATTCCTCTGATGCGGAATCCCCAGACTGCTCTTCCCCCCTCCTGCGGGCTTTGGGACCTGGCCCCTCCTCCGGGCTCCCTGCACTTCCGCGCGCCTCTACATTTGAACTAGGCGCGCGCGCCAAACCTCTAACTTTCCTTTTGACAGTTACACTACTCCCTTCACTGCTCCCTCCCCTTCCGGGAGGGCGGCTTGCTCTGACCCCCTCCTTTCTCTGCTGCTGGAGCTGCTTCCTCTGACACACTGGAAACTCCACCCCCTTCGCTGCACTCTGGTGGGGAGGCTGGTCCTGACGCCCAGCTGCCACTTTGGGATCTTCCGCTGGCACCCTGCTCCTGACACTTCCCCCCTGGGGCTCCCCTGGCCTTGACCACCGGCGCCCCCCTTCTGGGAATCCTCTGATTCGCTGGAAAGACTCATGGAATCTCTTGAGTCATTGTCATCCTCTTCCTCGCTGGCTTGGAATTCCTCCCCCCTCGCTCTCCATCTCCTGCCTACCCTGTGCCTCTCTCCCTGAACCCCTGACATCCATCCCCCCCTCGAAGCCCCCCTTCCCCCCTCCCGCTGCTCGGGCGCAGGTTCCGGGAGCTTCGTTGTAGCGGGGGTAGATGCTGGATACAGTTCGTCGACGTCGATCTCCTCTGCTTCCAGTTCAGTGTAGGAGTGCTCGAAACCAGGGTCCCCCCAACACCTCCAAACCCTTCCCTCCCCCTGTTACTTCAGGCGAAGCTGCTTGCCAAGGCCCCCTTCGCCACCCCACTTCTGGTTGATCGTCCCACCAATAAGAGCGGTCCGTGTCTACCCCCGAGCACGATCCCCTTGGAGGGCTCGATTGCGGCGTGGTCTCCTCCGCAGAGGAGACCCCCCGGAAGGTGCTGCCTGAAAGTGTGGGGGTAAAAAGCCAGTCGTCAAAATACTCCTCTGGCATGGGCCTGTGTGGGAAGAGTGCATGGAACTCGTCCTTAAGAAAAGGTTCCTCCAGAGCATAATCTGGCACCCAACTGTTGGCGCTGGCCGGGGTACCTTCCCTGGCGAGGAGGTATTCCACTCCCTCCTCCCCCCATCTCGAGTCCAGAATTTCCGTGGCCTCGTTGAGTGTCGGGGTCCTCGGTGACTTCCCCCTGGTGACTTCCTACGTGGGTCTGGTGCCGTCCCTGGCTCCTGAAATCGGTGTGGGGCCTTGTAGGGTGTAAGCACCGACCTATGAAAGACCGGGTGCATTCGGGAATCCTCTGGGAGGGTCAACCGAAAAGCTACGGGATTGATCCTGCCCTCAACTTGGTATGGCCCTAGCTGTTTGTGTCCTAGCTTCTTCTTAGCTAACGACTTGGCCGGCACCGCCTGGGCTGCTAACCATACCCAGTCCCCCACCTGGATGTCTTCTCCTGCCCTCCTGTGCCTGTCTGCCTGCACTTTGTAGGCGTGTTTAGCCAGTTCCAAGTGCCGTCGTAGCTCCTCGTGGACCTCCTGCAATTCTGCTGCTAAATGTTCCGCTCCCTGCGACTCCCCCTGTGTCGTTGTCTCCAACGCCGGGAATGTTCTGGGATGTCGCCCATTGTTGGCGAAGAACGGTGTCACCCCGTTGACGCGTGCTTCGTGTTGTTGTAGGCAAACTCGGCCATCGGTAAGTAGTCCACCCAAGTTGCCGGCTTCTGATTGGCGTAACAGCGCAGGTACTGCTGCATGATGGCGTTGACCCTCTCCGCTTGGCCGTTGGTTTGCGGGTGTCTCGCCGACGCTAAGTTGATCTTGACATTCAGGATGCCCAGGAGCTTCTGCCAGAAACTGGAAATGAATTGGCGACCCCGGTCGGACAAAATGGACCGTGGTAAGCCGTGCACCCGGAACACGTGGTCTATGAATAGCCTGGCGGTCTGCTCCGCTGTTGCCACCTTCGCGCAAGGAATGAAATGCGCCATCTTGGTGAACAGATCTACAACCACAAGCACCGCCGTCTTGCCCCGCGAACTGGGCAGATCAGTGACAAAGTCCAGCGCCACCCTTTCCCACGGCTGCAGTGGCGTCTCCAACGGTTCCAGCAATCCCGCTGGCTTCTTGTGCACTGGCTTGGACCTCTGACAAGTGTCACACCTGGCGACGTAATCCGCGACTTCTCCCCGCATCTGGGGCCACCAAAAGTCCCTGGCTACTAAGTCCGCCGTCTTCTCCTTGCCGAAGTGACCCGCGCTGGGGCGTCGTGTAACTGCTGTAAAACCTTCGCTCGGAGATCGTCTCCCGGGACGTAGAGAGCACCTTTGCGGGTCAGCAGGCCGTCGCGTATCTGGAATTCGCCGTCCTTTGCTGTCCCTCTTCGCACCTCCTCCATCTTGGATTGTGCAAACGGATCCGTCTGTAACGCGCGTCGTACCGCGTCCAGGTCCACGGCGGCAGAAGCGCACGCCCACGCTTGCGGTGCAAAAATGTGCCTGGCTGCCACTGGTGCCGCTTCCTCAAGATACTGCGGTTTCCTGGAGAGCGCATCCGCTATGACGTTGTTGTCTCCCGGGATATACTCTATCCGGAAATCGAAATCAGCAAAGAACTCCGCCCATCTCATGTGCCTCTGGCTCTGGAGCTTCGCCGTGCGCCAATACTCTAGGTTCTTGTGGTCCGTGCGGACCTGCACGGTGTGCTTGGCTCCGATGAGGAAGTGCCGCCACGCCTTGAAAGCCGCGTGGATGGCCAACAACTCCCTGTCCCAGATGGTGTAGTTCTGTTCCGACTTGCTGAGCTTCCGGGAATAGAAAGCGCAGGGCCTCCAGTTCTCTTGCGAATCTTCCTGCAAGAGGACGGCCCCCACTGCTCTGTCAGATGCGTCAGTCTCAACCCGCATGGGCCTGCCGGGATTCACGTGTAGCAGCTGGTCTTCGGACGCGAAGAGACTCTTAAGTCTCCTGAAGGACTGCTCCGCCTGGTCCGTCCAGGTGAACTTTTTCTTCTTGGAACTGAGGGTGTCCGTGATAGCTGCCGTCTCTTTCGCGAAACCCCTGATGAACTTGCGGTAAAAGTTGGCGAAGCCGACGAACCTCTGGACCTCCTTCCGATTGCGCGGGCTATTCCAGTCCAACACCGCGCGGACCTTGGCGCTGTCCATGGCTAATCCCTTGTCGGACAGCCGGTAGCCCAGGAAATCCACCTCCGTCACGTCGAACTGGCACTTCTCCAGCTTGGCGTAGAGTCTGTGCTCCCGTAGCCTCTGCAGGACCTCCTTTACGTCTCTTTCGTGAGTCTCCTGCGATTCCGAGAAGATCAGAATATCGTCGAGAAAACATACGCACTTCTTGTAGAGGAGTCCTGCTAGCACGTGGTGCATGAATGCTTGAAAGCAGTGGGAGCCACCTTGGAGACCAAACGGCATAACTCTGTATTCATAGGTGCCCAGCGGCGTGAACATGGCCGTCTTCCACTCGTCACCTTCCCTCATGCGTATGAGATTGTAGGCTCCGCGTAGATCCAACTTGGTGAAGATCCTCCCCTTCCTTACCGTCGCGAGCAGGTCGTCAATCTTGGGCATGGGGAAAGCCTTGGGTTTTGTCATCGAGTTTATGGCCCTATAGTCCACAATGAGCCGTTTTTGGGGCGTGTCCTTCTTCTTCACGAAAAACACAGGACTGCCCCCCACTGCCTTGGATTCTCGGATGAATCCCCGCTTCAAATTGTGATCTATGAACTCCCTGAGCTCCTGCATCTCATCTTCAGACATGGAATACAGCTTCGCAGTCGGCAGCGTCGCCCCTGGTAAGAGGTCAATTGCACAGTCGTAGGGCCGGTGGGGTGGTAATTGGTCAGCTTCCTTCTCGCAGAAGACCTCCAAAAACCCCTTGTACTTGTGGGGCACTGCCTGCACCATGCCTAGATGCAGCTGTTGCCCTTCCTCCTGGTCCTCCTGGTCCTGGCCGATCTGGATGCAATGTTGTGCACAGTAGGACGAGCCAAAGGTGAGCT